ATGTAAGTTTTAATCTTAGGAAATGGTTAACTTAATATATGCTCCGGAATCTTATTGTAAAAACGTATACAGTTCCCCATAAAAGAATCGTTTACCTTAGTTAAGCGAAAACGTGGTACCATGAGTTTGGACTTAGTTCTAAGGTTAATATTATGGATATTCTCTTTCTTAACGAAATTATGTATGAGTAAATGTACTGAGATGCACAGTCATGATACTCCTTAACCTTTTATCTGAGAGAAATCCGAGAACCTAAACGGTACACAGAACGAATCGCTAGTTTTTGCAACACAAATATGGTTTGTTTAAATGCCGCTTTACACCACATGAGAATCCCGTAGGACATTATACTATGGAAGTAACTAAAGTAAACTAGTCTAGCAGTAGCAACATCGGTAAGTTCACGTATTCTACGGCCTGTGTATGCAGCAGAGCTTAATCTGCTACCCAAGGAAGATATATGTGGAAACCATTGGTGTTTACTATCTAAGGTCACTCCCAAAAGACAGCTTTACATATATTAAGGTGCGAAGTTTTGGATGGGCGCCTTAAATTGCATCTGGCTGGATTGTTGTTTGATGTTGTTCAGTCTCACATACCTTATTATTTGTATGAGAAACTCACTTGGTCATCCACGGTAAACTCTTGCTTTGGAGCAAGGTCGACAAGGGTGTTTCTGCTTGTAACCACCCGGCAATAGCAATAGTAACGCAGCATTTAGAGGGAGTTTCCGCTTAGCCACTAGTTGTTGGAACAATATTCCTCCTCTTATCCGAAATAGCGTCACATAAAGAACTTTCAAGCAGAAGCTGCAGGAGTATTTTCTACACATGCAGAAATTGTAAATATGAGTGGATAGCGTGCTTAAAATAAATAAATAAATTGGATGAAATGAAATGGAATTAAATTGAATTGGATTGATTTGAATTGGTTAGAATTTGAATCGAATTAAATTGGTTTTGTTTTGGGTTTTACGAGTGGCGTTTCTGTCCTATAGAGTCCTGGCAGAATACCAGCGTCGCGGGCAGCGTCATTTATGCTGAGTCAGTTTTATTGCAATGGCTTTCAAGAGAGATATTTGCAGAATAAATTACGGTGTTACGTCTAAGTAAATGTCTGTATCATGTGTCTGTGTATCTATTTGCTATGGTGGTGAATAAAGATTCTGTCTATATATCTAATTTTAATTTGAAATTCACTATGAGCTTTTCTGAAAAACACCTTAAAGAAATCTGCTAACATCTGCAAAGCAATTTAATTATGTGTGTGTAGTTTCCAATCTGCATTGGGTACATGAGGCATGTGCCCAGCAGTGGAACTTATATAAAGCCAACTAGCTTGGTCGGATTAAGTACAATTTGTTCAGGTGGGGATTTTTAGATGGTTCTGTGGTGCGATTCAATCGATTGTCCATTTCCTATCGTGTCCTATGGCGGCTACTAGTGACGTGGTCGGCGTGGTGGCTGAGTTCTGGGTCACAATAGTACAGTGTATGTCATAGATACGATACGAAGAAGGCTAACTATGATCTAATTATTTATTGAAACCTTCTGAGTAAGTTTTCTCGCTCAAAGAGTGAAAATTTAATAAACAAAAACGACAAAACAAACCCAAATCGTCGTAGGTAGTCCGCATATCGTGCACCACCGTTTGTTTCGTCGAATAGCGCGTACGAGGTGTCGTTATGAATTTTTATCGACCTCCTTTGTTCTAACTTGCTCATCGGGATGTAAATAAATAAAGGAATAATAGATTTGTTTGAATATATTTCATTCGTGTATGTAAGACAATAAATTAACTTTTAAAGGGTAAAAGTATATGCAATTTTTATGTACATGTAATTTTTTTTGTTGTGATTTTTTTTGTATTAGGGTAAAACCGGGATAGATGCACTTTTTGAAAGGGCCTCCTAATTTAAAAATTATTAGTTTACCATGAACAATTCCTATGGATATAACTAGTGTAATCTTTTACATTACCTTAATACTTGATTTTATTCCGCTAACATTTACTGATTTTGAAGAAATTGACTTTTTGCAAACCTATT